ATAAAATCTTTAAAAAAAAAAAAGGAGAGAAAAAAAAAAAAAGAAGAACAAGCTCACTGCCGTGGGAACAATACTTGACCAGGAGCCACCGTTGCACAAAGGGCATAATGACATCTGCAGCCACGGGTGTTGCGAGGATCAAATAAAACCGAAGATGTGTATGTGTGCAGGAAACTGCATCGTCGTGACTTGTTCTTTGTGAGGGATGACACCCAAGGGATTCCCAAAGTTAGGAAACAAAGTAGACTCTGTGGCATGTAAGGTCCGTGCGGACCCTATGAGTCTATGATTTCATCTTATTAGTAACCCAAGCTAATTAATTCTGCTTCAACATTCAAAGTTTATATTGCTTTGAGTTATAACGCATACATCACGTCTGCCCTACTTTCACAGTATATGTTAACTAACCTATAAGATGCAATCCCTTAATGCCATGGGGTTAGATCCTTTACTAGTTCCTAATTAAACCTTTTCCTCTCATCCACTGTTCATCACTGGGATAAATGGAATAGAGGTGTCTCTGTACCAATGAGGCCAATATGTATTTCAGAAAGTTCAAGGAATAACTCAAAATACATGATGATTTACCGAAGAAAGCGTCCTCTTTTTTTTTTTTTAAACAGAAATGCTCCCGCTAAAATTGAGTAATATGACCTGATCGTACTTACGACTGTGATCTGTGTTCATTATCTACTGACAGGATGGAACATGCTTCTTTGACTCTCATGTTTTTATACTCATTCTTTGCCTAAATGGTAAAGAAATTGATTCAAAAATAGTGCCGAAGAGATAGATGAAAACCTCTGCTGGGGAAGCTCAGAATCAATGGAGAGGCAAGAATCTGGAATTAAGTAGAAAAAGGAAAAGGACTGGGAGCAGGGATGAAAGATGAAGAGGCAGTTTGTAAAACGTGTTGACTTATTAGAAGTATTCAAAGTCTGTTATATGTTAGGGGCGCCTGGGTGGCTCAGTTGGTTGGGCAACTGCCTTCGGCTCAGGTCACGATCCTGGAGTCCCGGGATCGAGTCCCGCATCGGGCTCCCTGCTCGGCAGGGAGTCTGCTTCTCCCTCTGATCCTCCCCCTCTCATGCTCTCTGTCTCCCATTCTCTCTCTCAGATAAATAAATAAAAAATCTTAAAAAAACAAAACAAAACAAAGTCTGTTATACATTAGATGAGCAAAAGTAAACTCCAGGTTCTGCAATGTTTTTTGACTCCAGATCAGCCTCCTGCACCAGAACCTCATCACACACACGCACAAATGATGCCCCGTCTTAATGTGTGGAGTCACGGCACAGTCTCTGCAAAGCAGCTGCAAACCTTCTACTAACACGCCTAAGTAGATGGCAATGAAGGCTGGTGTACATGATTTTGCTACCTTGGCCAGGAAATGGTGTTCACAGTGTGGTTATTTTAAGATATTTGAGATGGCAGTACAATTCACATAGCCCAATGGGAGTCTGTTACACTTGAAGTTTCCAGGTAGAGGGAGGGGTTGACATCGGATTCCTGTCAAGGACAGTCACTGGACTCAGCCTGCTGGACCTGTGAAACATCGCTACCAGGAATGACCAGAATGTGTACGAATGAATTTGCCTCTTCTACCTGCTTGCTTGAGCTTCACACACTCCAGTCGCTTTTCCTAGAAAAGGTAGTGTAATTGTGGGGCCCTCTTCCCACCTTCATTCAGTCTCTTCCCAGAGCCTCCCACTGGTGGCTCCCAACAGGACCCAGAAGCCAGGGAAGCCGGGGATGCCGGCTAAGGAACACCACAAGGCATAGGATGGAAGGAGTGGGTAGGGGGCTAAGTAAAGAGTCACTAGGTTATTTCCTGGGTGGCTGGCTGGATGGATGAGTGGGTAGATGAGTACATGGATGGGTATATGGATGGACAGAGGGGTGGATGGATGGGTTGGGGTAGTCTGGATGGTGACAGAGTCAGTAAATCATGTGTGATCTCCATTTCTTTCTCTGTAAACTGAATATTAAAAATCCTCTCTCTCTCTATAAAATGCCAGTGAAAATCAAATGGAATCATATGAAAATATTTTTTTACACTCCTTACAGTGCTATATATATATGTCAGTTTTATTTATTTATTTTTTTTCGTTTATTTGTTTGGTTGTTTGGGGGAAGAGACCGAGGGGGAAAAACAGGATTTGAGTGGTGCTTAAAATGCTAACTTGAAGAGGATAAAATAATTTTGTTCAGCTTGTTCTTCAGTGTGCTTTGTGGACATTTTAGAATCTGAGAAACCAGACAATGGTTAAGTGGCAACACTGATTATAAAAAAGGCTGGATCACTGTGTCCTACCATCGTAAATGTCCTTAAGACCTAGAAGACATACTTCATTGGTTGCTAAGGTTCACTAAGACTTAAGCCTTTTTCAGCTGAGATAGGGGCATGCATTCCCCTCAGACAGACAGGGAGTAAACTTCAGATGGCTATATAATGAGCAAGTATAAAATACCATTCCAGTGCACTCAGGACCCCGGAGTCAAGCAGTGGCCCCTTTGGGACCTTCACTGAACCTCCCCCCTCCCCACCCCAAGTGAGAAGCCCTGGGACACTGTACCTGTATGTGTCCTTCGGTGAGCCTTCAGGTGAGAACTTTTTGTGTATACTTTGTTGCATCCCTCAAAATCACATCTGTGGATACGCCGTTTTCTGGAGTCTGGGGATTCAGACCGTCTCTGGCGTCTTGTGCTCTCAATACTAAATGGTGAAATTGAACTGGGAAAAAAAAAAAGTGGAGTTAAATGGTGAGCAGCACAGTGCTCTGTTTTGGTTCTAGTGGCATGAGACCTCAGACTCATAGGCTGTCGCTTCCTATAGACTCAAGGACCCATGGCCGCATTTCCCACCATCACTTTCTTGGACACACTTTATTTCTTAATCTCGAAGGCAGGCAGCTTGGCCTATTTGTGATAAAACACTCCCCCAGAGAGAAAGACATGCTTAAAACAACAAGACAGAAACAAAAACTAAATAAAATCAGTGGTAGGTGAGTAGATCCTCCTCATCGAAAGAAATAATCTGGAACCCTTCTGAATGACACAGAGATTATTTTTGGAAGCTCTGCTGGAGACAGACAAAATGAATGCATTTAATAAGTAACACGGGGGTCTGAACTGCACGTGACAGCATATAAAATTGAGTAAAATCACAAGGTATATTTCAAAACAAGTGAGGTCAGGCTGAAAGAAATGATATCAGTACATCAATAACATGACTCATGACAAGCTATTTCTGTTTGGTAAAATGCACCTGACATTTAACTTTTCCAGTTGGTGGGTTTTCATGGTGAGAAATCAAGTACATTGTATTTAAAGATTAGCTGTACCACCATTATGAGAAAAAGTTTTAACTATGAAATTTGGCCCTGACTTGCTCGTTGTTTAATCCCAATGCCACAGTAGAAAAACAGGATTAGTTTGTAACGTCAGGTAATTGATTAACATGTACTTCTTCAAACCTTAATCTCTTTTGATTGAGGTAGAAATGAAGAATATGACTAATCGTTTTCAGTTACCCATGAAGTTCTTTACTATTATAACAAATACAACGCAAAAGGAATCATCCATATTTCTACTGTAAAGAATTTACCACTGTTTATATTGACATATTTTCTTCCAGCTTCTTCATGTTTTGATGCTTTTCAAAAATATTTTTTATTAGTAAATTACCTCTTTTTGTTAAAAAAACTGAATGACTCTGAGCAAGAGTTCTTTGAAGAAAGTGGCATTTAAGCTTCACTTAAGCAGATTACAGGTAAAGGTAAAACCCCGCCCTTGTCTTCCTTCCTCTTCCTCCCAGGGAAAACCTGTCGTCGGTTTTCTTTAAATTCTTCCAATTCTTTCAAATTATCCTTACCTACACATACCCACAGTCATAGAAACTCATAATACTGTTTTGTTCTTTAAGAGACATATAAATATCATCATATCGTTCACATCATTTTGCAAATTGCTCTACACTTGCCTTTTGCTTACTCAACATTAAGCATGTGAGATTATCCGTGTTGATGTCAACACTGTTGTTTATTTACTTGAAGTGCTATATCCACAACTCATCCATTCTAAGATGATTTTTTTCATATTTTGATGTCTCTAAAATGTAAGATACTTCTTACAGCTGAAGGCTTGTCATAGTTTAACTGGCATAAATTTTTTCTGTATTAGTAGTACATCCAGTAATAGTGCATTTTACAGTATGTGATATTTTAACTTAGATCAGGGGTTGGTAAACTTTTTCTGTAAATGGCTAAATAGCCAATATTTTGTTTTGACTTTGAGAGTCATGCAGTCTATGTTGTAACAAATCAACTCTGCCCTTGTAGCATGAAAGTAGCTACAGACAATATATAAACAAGGGAGTATGGCTAATGTTCTAATAAAACCTTATTCACAAAACAGTGGGTTGTTTTGGGGGCCAGTGGTTGATGCACGACTTAGATGAAACATGGTAGTAGTCCAGTGAATATTCATGCCAGAGTTTTAAAGTCTATTTCCTAAGCAATCAACATTTAGATGATTTCTAATACTTCACTATAACATCGCTCCAGTAAACTTTTTTTCCTCAATGTTTCCTTCTACATATGTGCCTTTTAAGTTTTCAGTGTATCTTCTCACTTGTACAAATAACAGATTCAGCAGCCAAAGCTTTCTATTATTAGCTAAGACAAAATATAAGTGGTGTTTATCTACTTGTGCCTTTGAAGAGTTTTATGCAAGATCTTTATTAGTAGAATGAAAGAAAATATGGGATGGCTAAGCCACTTTTTCCAGCTTCCTATGAACCAATGTGGATTTGTGGTTTTCCACGTAACTGACTCAGTTGCGGCGACTGGAGCCTATTGTGAAAAAGTCAAAATAGTGCTGGCCTATTGGCTTTGGTCATTCTTGCCAAGGTATGCTCTAGCATAGGGTGGGTTTCTTGTGAACCAAACTGTATGTGTGTGATGAGAGGCCAACAGTAATTCATTTCTTGAATATCTAGTCATGAAAATAAATATGGATCTTGGCACTTGGGGACCTCAAAAATAGAGATTTCTGTGTCGTGATATGTTTGACAGCTTTTAACTCAAGAGAAAATGATATGGTATCTGTTTCCTTCAAATTATAACTTAAAGTCTATAATCAGAACGGTTTGTGTTATACAGTACTTTCTATGCACTAATAAGTGTAAATGTAACTATGCATAATCACACACATACATTGTTTTGCCTGCAGTTTATTTTAGCTATTTATCTTGTTGTGTATGTGTATATACAGAGAAAAGTAAAAAATAAATCTGAACTTAAAACCAAGTAACTACTAAGCAGGTCTTTAAGGGACCAATGAAGTGATGCTGCGCTACAGTCCAACAACCATGGAACCATTTGGCAGGTGGTTAAGGAAGGCAAAGGCCACAGAATGGCATGATATTACTTCACCGAGACCTGAATTTACACCAAAAAAAGACATGTTAGGTGCATGGCCTTCATGCTACAAAACTTCACACATTGATTTCCTTCATTTTAAAGTAAAATATTTTAGGACATTATGAAGAACCACCCCCTAAAGGTATCTATGCAATAAAAATTAAAAAAAAAAATTTAAAAAGGTATGTACAACGAATAGCTGTGCCCAGCAGAGCTAGCTTGGAAATGATATCCAATGGGTAAAATTTTTCCCTAGCTCCCCTTTTAAAATGGCAGAGGCATCCTCAGAAGATGCTGAAGAAACTTTGGCGAGGCTATGCCTTTCCGAACCACTTATTTGATCTCTTTGTGGAAAGGTAAGAAGAAGTGCACTGAGGTAGACAGGGAGCAAAAGAGCAAAAGAACTCAAAGAACACAGAAAGAGGAGAACACACTCCAACTCCATGCGGGACTGCTGCTATGCTGGGGTCCACGCGTGAACCGACAGATGGCAGGCACTAGAGGGGGAAGACAACCAAAGGTCGGGGTTTGGTCAACCCAAGGCCATGGCAGGAAATGTAACAAGTTATCTCTAGAGCCTAGAACACTGTGGGCCTTCAAGAAACGTTTGCCAAATTGAATGAATGAATGGATGAATGAATGAATGAACAGATGAATGTAATGTCAAATTATTGTAAATTGTAAATGGTAATTGTAAATATGTAAAATTATTCCTAATTTTAACTTAATATAATCAATCAATCAATTAATCCTCCACTGGTTAATTAATCCTTACCAGGATTCTTTTACTGCAAGTCTTCAGACAATGGTCACTCAATTCTTCACTCTTACTCTCATTTCCCTAAGTTTCATACTTTAAATACTATATACAAAGTGGCTACTGAATATCAGAGAGTCTGGGTAATCATTAAAACCATGTGTACGTAAGTGTCTCCGTTCTTTGCCCTAAATTCAAGAGCGCAGCATTCTAAAGCATTGCTTACAATTAAAATTCTCTGTGGAAGGCCACTGAGATCCCTCTGAATGTGTACAGGATACCGGCGAATGAATAAACATCTCCCCTTTGATCCCAGTAAGCATTTGTTGAGCAGGGGATGGTGAACAGTGATCTTACTCTCAGCAGTCTCCTCCTGTCCTGTCCCACTCCAAGGCTCCCCCGCGTGGGCGTCTGGTAACAGAACAGCTATCGTTACTCTTCGGGTATTTCCATTCTGCCCTGTGCTTTCTGAGCAAGGTGCCCTTTGTTCAGAAGGACCTTCAGGTATCCCCAGATACATGCAAGCTTGTTCTGTGCTTCAAAAGCCGGTCTTGTTCTGAAGATGGAAATGCCACAGACGCCAGCGTCGGATTCTTCCAATAATCCTTCGTAATAAGCTGGTACGATGAATATGGTAGAGGCCTAACAGTTGCCAGTGTGTCCCCAGAGAATGTACTAAAGGGCATCTGCACAGTTCAAAAGAACAATGACTACAGGCCCACTCCCTTCCCCAGAAGGTTAGACCATTTGGAGGAGGGAATGAGCGCCGGAGGGGTCCTCACAGGCACTACGTTGTAATAATTAGATCTAGAGAGAACAAATGAGTGAATCATGACTTCAGTTGCACAACAGTCCCACTTGGAATGGCAAGTTAAATCAGAATTAAACCCAGAGAGGCTCGAGAAGTCACATCCAGGAACAGCTCTATTTAAATAGAAGGCACCGCATGGCTGCCATGAAAGAAATTAAGGTTAACTGTAATCAGCAGGTAATAGAAGACCATTTGTCACGTGTGACCTTAGTGTGATGAGATGCCCTTCACTGAAATTGAAGTTTCTATAGGTGTTTAATAAAAAAAAAAAAAAAAAAAAAAAAAGCCAGGACATTCTTCTAAGGCTGAAAAGAGAAAGAGAAGACACACATATCCCAAATTTTAAAACAGGAACAGAGAACAATGGAAGAGAAGGTGCTTGAGCACGTTTACACATTCAATCTCAACAGACCTCTAGGGAGCAGGCTGTGGATAACACGACAGCTGACATTTACAGAAGGCTGACCATGTGCCAGGCTCTGCTCTAAATGCTTTAAGCTTCAAAGCAACTCTGCGAGATCAGTATGATTAGTGTCCCTCACTTAGAGATGGGGAAACAGAGGCACAGAAGTTAAGGCCAGGATTCAAACCCAAGTGGCTGACTCCAGGACCCAATCTTAGTTCTTACTTTCTATGGACTCAGATACGGCTAAGAGCAACCAGCATAGGATAAAACGGGACAATGCAACAACATAATCTGTATCATTTAAAGTTTCCCCCTCGTCCAATTATAGAAAAAAAAA